TCGATTATCACTTTGGCTGCCTGAGATGGCCGAGGTTTGGCTCTCCTTCTCTCTAATTCAGTTAGATTTGGATTAAGATGAGAATTTTTGACTAGGCAGCCAGTGTAAGTACGATCAGGTGGTAGTGGTGCGTCACGAATTCACATAGTAGTCGGAGAAAACCCTTGTTAATTCAAATAAATAAAAATATGATCAGCAGTCGAACCTCATATCTCACTTGGTAGAGCAATCAGCCAGTAACCCTTGGTCGCTAGTTGGAATCCGACCGTGGTTCAATTTTCCACTTCACTTTCAATCATCACCCAGCATCAGTACTAGTCTACCAAACCATGGGTATTTCGGATTGTCAAAATGACTTGCATTTCCATCTGGCACAACCTGTTTCCTTTATTTCATTCTTAGGTGAAGCAAAGGAGCTATAATTTTTGCTTGAGATTAGTTTTTCACACCTGAAAATGTCAACGTAAATCAGGCGTATTGAATGCTATGACAGTTTTACAGTTACCACATAGTAATATTCCTCATGCACATGACAATCTGAAGCTAAAGAACAGCGTTTCGCTACACAATTGCCTTTGATTTTCTCTTATTAGTGACATGTAGGCTACTTTATATTCATTCTTTGCTGGAACTCTGAGTTAACCTTGTAGTTCTGAGTATTAAAGGAGCCTAATTCAGTCAGTAATAAATGACAGTCAGTTATTATTATCATCAGTTTTTCAATACAGTTTAGAATAACTTTAGTCTGTTATTACCTTTTGCATGTTGCAGTTAGAATCATTAGCTTATAAATGCTGTAAGATCTGCATAACTCCAGTAATCTTAATGGGCTAAATTGAAACGAAACCATTATCCCAAGCTGGTATCCATCATCACCAGAGATCAAGCTCATGACATCTAACTCTAGCAGAGAGTTCATTGGTGATTCAGTTACTGGGTTGGGGTTGAATAGTCCACAGTTTCCCTCTTCTGTCAATTAGTAATATAATGCGACTATCATTTAAGATCATCAGCTGACATCCTCTTCACCTCTGACTTATATGACCTTACAAGTCACAGCTTCTGATTAGAACTTTAAAATAGCCAACTCGGAGCATGTCTCTAAAATGCACTAGACAGTAATTCAGATTAAGGTTTGTATGGAATTCTATTTATTACAGAGCAATATTCATCACAAGACATGGGGTGGTTAGGGGAATCCCATTGAGGAGTCCGATACTAAGGTCAAACAACTGCCAAGTGATCTTAGGTCTTGTATATTTCTCCAACTGATGTCAACCCTCTGATGAATACTACCATAAAGTCAATCAATCCACATAAACACCAAAATTAGAAACCGTTCATTCTCTTTCTTAAGACAAGCTTAATATGGAGATGATTATGTTGATGAGAACATGTCAAGTAAATTCACCCAATATGGGTGTACAAAGACAAATGAGGCAGCCAAAATAAAGAATTGAATGCTCATTTTAAACTACAGATTCCAGTGCAGTGTTGTTTGTCATCTGAGGAGAAAATTGAATATTCCCTAGTCTTTGACCACAATAAAAGTATAGTCATACTGACTACTCCAGTGTAAAAATTTGCAGCAAGATCCAGGAATTAATAAATAATGTACAAAAACACGTTAAAAATATTTCTTATTTCATTCATATGAAATAAAAGACTAGGTTTTTATCTTCATAATATTTCGAGCAAAATTACTGCTCGTGATCATACCAGTATTTGGAATATTTCAAGAATATTTCTTCCCTATTCATTTATATATAGAATAAATATCGCTAAAATATTCCAACTGTTGGTGTGATCATGGACAATAATTTTGCTCGAAACAATACCAAAATAAAAACTAATCTTTGTATGTAAACTTCAAATTAAACATTTATTTATAATGCATAAATCCATTCTACAATGCACAAACTTTTCATTGAATCTGTCATCAAAGTATTAATTTGTTAGTTAGATATGCATTATATCGTGAACGGAAGGGTAAGCCTGGTGGACACGAGGACAAATACTTAACGATGACTCTCGGTGATGGTCGTGCTGTGTCGTGAACTGACAGAAACTGGAAATATGAACCACCGGCCCTGTGGAACTTGAAGGTCTTAGGTCCGATCCTTGATGGAGTGATGGGTGCGCATTACTGACGAATCACATACTAGGGCAAAACAGATATCAAATGCTCCTGGGTTTTCGATGTTTCTCCAATTGATGTCATTTCATGATGAATGTCAACCTGAAATAAGTAAATCGTTACAAATCCCTAAACTGAATATCTTAAATAAACATGACCGAATAAACAGAATAAAGACTCTTTGAAATAGGTAACTAGTTTCAAAGCTAAGTAAATATAAAAGAATGGAGGTCAGAGACGAAAAATACATGGATAAGACAATAAACAAAGTGTGATTTCATTTAAAAGCCGTTAAGTGAAGAATGTGTGAGATGTCGAATGTGAATATAATTCAGATTAAATGTGATAAGATAAAGAGAAAGGGATATAGTAATGTGACAAAATAGAATGAAATGAACTGAATCAGTTTTTTACACCCGTAGTTTCTTTCTACCACATTGGGTCGAGTCGCTCGACATGTGTTGCTAGATACGCTTCTATACGCATGTCACTATACTGCCCGAATATTTTCATGCAATCGTGTACCAAGTGGCTAGCAGTTGAATCCTATTTGGGACTCATCATTTGCATGTTCCTGCATCGAATGATTAATGCTGTCGCCACCGAAACTCAGAGGTCGTTCAGTTTGACCCACTACAACTACAGAAAATCGTAAGCATCATCAAATGAAAGCTGCTGCCCTTTGCAAAAGAGGTGGCTATTGTGCCTAGTATCCTAATGAGTTATGGGTTTAGGCCTCAGTGGAACCACCATCACCACATCAACCTGACGAGTCCTGAGGAAGATGAAACACGTGCCCTGGATTTCATTGCCAGCCACCAAGTAGACTACAATGAAATGAAAAAGAGATAGCTGTATGAAACAAGTGGCCAACATGATCAGCTAGGGACAGGTTTGTGAAAGCGACTCCTGCTAACACACGATAACATCGCCTAGGATGGTTGAGTGGAACAAAGTATGGAACACTAGATTTATCAACCTCTTCACAAGTATTGTAGTAAAACCATGAAATCTTTGAATACTCACTTGACATTATTTACAAGGTCAAATAAAACCTGTCGAAATATGCGCGCATACACTCACTTTGCTTCATAGAAGCCTTAACAACTATTGGATAGCTGGTTAGGCTAAAGACGACAGTAACTCTGGCATTATACATGATTATGATGTTCATAACGGATAAATTTCAAATGAATGACACGTATACATAAAATATGGAACAAAGATAAACCTGAATTTTAATTTGATGTGTGATACACCATTTTTGATCTAAATCACTTGGAACCAATTCACGAAAGATTCTCTGTAAATGTCCCTTCAGTGTAGAGACAATAGACGCCGTTATTTGGTATTACACCATAGGCATGTGCATAAAGTGATTTGTGACTTTATGCACACACACAAACATACACACTCAGTGATTCTGACCAATCAAGTCATGAAAGGCTCTAACATGTGTGATAATGGTATCATTGGTTATTCTTATTCCATACTGTATGTAATTATAATTGGTTATCTTCCAATTAGTATAAAGTCTCTGTTATCGTGACTGTGTTACTGCAAATATCGGTAATTAATTTTTGTATATCCTAGACTAATTAAAACTGTTTGGTGAAATTGCTGGTAAACCAATGGACCTGACCATTAGGACAGCTAGAAATGTGCACTTTACAACCTCAAGATGTGTTCCGCTCATTTCATTGTGGATTACCAATTATAGTGCAAGTAATAATTAATTATTCAGTTCCGAAAACGGTGAATACTCTGCATCTGCCACCAAATATGTCGCTTTTTTCTTGCCATTTCGTCAAGAAAATATCAAATGATTTGAGAACATGAAACGGTTCCACACTTCAATGATGTTATGATACCCTATTTGATTAATACTAAATACTGATAAAGACAGAATCAGCTAAGAATCTCTCACACAAGTCTATCGGTTAAACTTGCTGTACACAGTAGTATACAAATAACACGTGGATAGGAAAGACTGATATCGAAGTATACAAAAATATGCACAGGGGAAAAAATTTAAAACTGAAAGTTAGCCAGATTTCAGAAGATCTCAACGAGTGAATATATCTGCATCGTTGTGACCGCAAAGCCAACAGCTTCGATGACCTCAACCAGGCTGTCCGCACCTCCATATATGGTTCAAACCAGCGAACAATAGTCTCATGGACTGAAACTGCGTCATAAACTATCCACCCTGAACCTACTTCCAATCTAATGTAACTTCTGCTAGCGTTGAACGTCGACGTAGATGCTGTCCTGGCATGTGCAGCGCGCATCCTTCAAGTTAGTGTTATCGTCTTATACTCCTTCATTCCAATTTTCGTTTTCTCTCACAATTAATTTAAGAATGACAGAATGTTGTTAACTGCGAAAACTAATTAATGCATGTTTGGACAAGTCCAGGCTGTATGATCTATTTGTTGAGTGTATGACTGTTTGCCTAGGCTGGATCCAACGCACTGATGACGATGTCTAGCATGACAAATTCAAAGTATGAGGAAGTTTTTAATACAAATGGTATATATGAAAATTGTATATCTCACTGTCTATTTCCAACGAATCTTCTCAACTAGTGCTTCGAAATGAAACATGACATTTAAAAAGCTAATAAACAAATAGCATGAACTGTGGGATGCTTGTTCGTGAATCTTTATAGTACACTGTTCATCTGATTCCAATTAGTGTACTGGTAGTTCCTTAGTAAGTCCTGTTTTAATTAGAAACTTTCTTGTTACAGTTCAAAACCTATGTTGCTTTGAATTTGGATAATGAACGTCTACTTAAAGTTAGCACCACATTAAATAATATTCTACGACCTAATGTTTTCATGCAATTTTATTTTATTCAGCTGCCACACTGGAAATGAACGATGTACATTTCAGAATTTCACATCTGTCCTAACAACTTATGGACAGTGTTATCGTATGAAACTTGAACGATCAGGTGAGATACAGTTAACCGCTGTACTTTAAAAAAAACTTTAACTAAAGACCATATATGTCTAAAAAGAACATTTTGACTGTGTTTGAAAGTTACTTATCATCCTAATTTTTATCTTGCTACCTTCGAAATTCCTACCTGTTCATCTATCTAACAGTAATAGTTGCTTCAACTGTGAAGCATTTTTTGCACCTCTCTAGCACTAGCTACATTTAAAGTATATTAAATGAATGAACGACTGTGAGGAAATTGTCAGCTGGATATATACCTGCACCTCAGTGATCGATGTTGTCCCCCTTGAGACTCGGACCCACTACCCATCACTTAATTCACTAGGCCACCGGTACACGAAGCCACCTCTTGTGCAACAGCTTTCAGTTATTCTATGATACTTTTTATCTCCTGTCGAGAGAATGAGCCAAATTTCTCGACCCCCAATGGCAGATAGGCTCCTTTTTGCGTATGTCTCAATACTCCCTGATTACTCATTATGTTACAATCTGCTTGACTGCTCAGTAGTGAAATCTAAGATGCACGTTTCTTCCTTGTTTGGATTTATTGGCTGATTGTGCATTCACCTAAATGGAAGAAGTTGTTCTTACTGAGACTCAAACCCACCATAGCGACGGGAAGCTGCAAGCATCAAATAGCAACTGTCGGGAGAGTTTTTAAAAGCGAGTCTTCAGCTCAAATGTTTCGCTGTAGGTTTATGAATTACCAAGAAACCGAAATCATCATGCTGTTCAGAAAAAGTGATCTATCAAACATTTTTAGCTTTTGTGATTTATCTTGAGCAATATTTCCCACTAGTGGATTATCCATAAATCAAGACCCCACATAAGCTATCCTTTTTACTTATCACTGCATTACAGACATTTCTTTCAATCCTCTTCCGTTTCAATGACTTCGTATCTCTGCCAATAAAATAGTTTGGTTATATCACCGTGAAAATCATAGTGAGCATTTTGTTTAAAATATGAATTTATTATGTTTCTCATGATTTAATAAAGCTGATAGTCTGCTGCATAGTGAGGCTGTATGACATTCAGATATGCATGTTAAACTAGGTTTTATTCTTTTTTTCATATGGCTGCTTCTTTGCTAGATAAAGTTTACCGTAACATCATATGCTATTGAAGCTTTTCTTAGCACATTAAGTCAGAAGAAAATAAATACTGAGAAAAAAGTCACAAAGGTTAACTTAGTATAGTTTATATAGTCGTTTGTATTAGGTTTGATTCTTTTAAGTAAAGTGTAATACCGAATGACTGATAACCTTCAAGTGACATCTTAAATGTAGCCTGTTTTTCACCATAGACTTAATTGTGTAAGACAAATAGTTATGTATTAAAGACAGTAAATTCACTCATCTTAAGTAGCACTGTATTCTCTCTGGTGTTTAATAGCCTGATGGAATCTGCATGACAGTTAGCATCCATATAAAAGTTCATAAATCACAAGTACCTGACACCTCCATAAAACTTGTGCTCATACAGCGATTAAGAAGCACTGAATATTGACCAGTAGTGAAGCATGAGTTTCATCAACTTTATTGATACACATTATTGATAGAAATCAAGCCGCATAAAATATAGTTCCCGAGGACTAATTACCGTTACTAACGTTTCAGTTCCAAGTAAAAGTTGTCTTTAAACATCATAAATTATCCATTCAAAGCTTGTCCTTTGTTTATGACTACTTTAGTTTCAACAGCCAGCTAAAATCAATTATATTCTTTATAATCCTGCTAATACTTCTATATATAGCTATCCAGTGCCATTACTCACAGTTTTGAAAAGTGCATTTACGGTACTTTAAACTTATACTTAAACCCAGTGATTATTTGAGAATAACCTGCTATTCTTTTATATAGAATCAACTTTAATGCTAATTAAGAAAAGCGATTGGATCGCTGTTAATCTGCACACTGACTAATCGATAAAAGTCAAAACAAAATACCAAGCTCCTTAGCATTTTCAGAAGCATGTTTATCCGAAGCTATATTTTAATATCACCTATGGCTCTATAGTTCATAAACTCATCACCTCATGGACCAACCTTGTAAACTGAAAGGTTAGTCAACAGTCTCACGCAGTCTTAAGACACGGTGAGTGAATGAGAGATGGAGACCGCATTTAAATACATATATACATCGAAGACATAAGGTTTCAAGCACACGTTTATAGAATATTTCAATTTTATAAATTTTGTTTGATGAAATATTCCTAACACCATTTGATAATGAAGTTGGTTGGGAACCCTTTCTCTAAAGACTACCTATTCTGGTAACATCCTCAGCTTGTTAAAAAAACGGATATTTACTCAGTCACCTGCATTAAACTGTTGACTTCTTACGAGAAATGTACTTTGGAAAAGTAAATAGAAACCTTTTTATGTGAAATTGGTTTTCACTACAGATTGGCATCAATTAGAGAACTAATGAAAAACTGGAAGCACTGGAAACTTGTTTCATCCAAGCATGAGATCTCAAAGTAGTGCGCGTCCATGACACCACCAAGAATTGTGATCAGCACCTCTCAGGTTTCTCGACAAACACATTACCATGAAGCCATTCTGTAGGGATCCAATCCTCAACACTTTCTTAGATCTGGTGAGTTATGATCCTTAGGGCAAACCAAGTTGACGGAAGTGGGAAAATGTCGACCATTGGATTTCAACATAGTGACACAGTAGTCACGCACCAGTCAAGAAAGTTGAATTTAGTGGTTTCAATCCTCAACAGAACCATGAGTGTACACTCCTCAGTAATCCCGTACTAGGAGACGACACAGATGTCCAGTACTCCCAGGTTTTCAATGGTTCTCCAAATGGTATGAGTCGAAGATGAATACCAACTTGAAATCAATGATTAAATCCCCACAAAGCCTCGTCGTGAAGCTTTTGTGCTAAGACTTTATTCACACTTATGACATATTCTTCAAATATGACCTCACCTCCTATTCGAACCATGATGTGCACGCCAAGAAGTTTAATAAAGACATAGCTTCACAGAATGACACCGCTACGAAGCTTGTGTTTCTCACAATGATAGTGACCTTTCAGATATTCCGCTTCTTCATTCGCAGGAATGACACTATATATCGTTGTCAAATAGGAAATGAGTAGGTAGAACCACATAGTTTCATCATTTCTCTGATCAAACATATCACACAGCATGTTTAATTAGCAAACAACATAAGTTTTCAGCTTGATGAATAAATATAGGATTTTCCTAGAAAAAATAATGATCGGTCATACGACTGGCATTCATTCGGTAGAATAAACAATATTTTATGGGAAGTATTTTCGAATATTTAACTCATTTTTCAATCACCTACTCACTTATTGAACCTCGCCTGGTTAACCAGTGCAATACTTACTAGCCGGTCCTAAGCCCGGGTAAAGAGGGAAGAATGGGTATATAGCTGGCAACCCTGCCCCGTAAAACCGATCCAACCGCTACAGAAAGTTCAAAGCACAGACAAAATACAGAAAATAAAAATCAACTTATTCCTCACTGTAATCGGAGGGGCGAAATGGCGCCGGTTGGTGAAAGCCTTCCGGGAAGCCAACTGGCCGATGCGTCTTCTCTGGATGAAAGCGAAAGTAAACGCGGGGACAAGGAATGTCTGCACTAGAAAGACTGGTCAGATTGAAAAGGAGATGAGAAGGTATCACACTGAAGTGCTAGGAATCTGCGAAAGCAGATGGAATGCAAGTGGACTCTACTAACTCTTAACTGGAGAGTCAATAATCTGCTCCGATGTTGTCACCTAGACAACAACCATGAGCACACGGAGGGCGTGACTATCATGATGTCCCCAAGAGCATCGAAGTGGGAACCAATCTCTACCAACATCAGGATCACGATAGCAAGATTCAACTCAAAAAAAGGAAAGTCACAAACATTCAGTGCCACGCTGTGCACCTACAAATAATGCAGATGAAGAGAAGAAGGAGGAATTCTACAGACAGCTGCAATCATTACTGGGCAAGACCCAGTTGGCGATATCAAAATTCTAATGAATGGGAAGACATGAATGCCAAACTGGGAGCTGACAACACAGGAGGAGAACTAACCATGGTTCGAGAAGCGCTCGGTGAGGTGATGAAGGAGAATGGAGAATCGTTTGCAGAATTCTGTGCATTCAACGATTTGATGATTGGAGGCAGTGTGTTAAAGCACTACGATATCCACAAAGTGACATGGATTTCACCAGATGGACACACTTAAACTCAGATCGACTTCATCGCAATCTCAAGAAAATGGAGACGCAGTCTACTTGACGCAAGGTCAAGAAGAGGAGCAGATGCAGGTCCAGACCACTATCTAGTGCAAGGACCCTACCTTCGAAATCAAGTTGAAAGCCTTCAAGGAAGTTGCTAATAGACCACAGTTCAAGTTCAACACCCGGAAACTGGAGCACGAAACTACAAAAGAAATCTTCACTTCAGCCAGCCATCAAGACAAAATAGGAGATATCGAGGGACATCCCTGAAGAAAGCTGTATGGAAGAACACTGGAACTCTTTGAAAGCTATTTGGAAAGAAACCTGCATAACCGTATTAGGAAGGAAGAAGAAAAGGCAAGACAAGGAATGGATCTCGACAAACACATGGAAGCTGATAGAGCAAGGAGAGTAGGATGGTTAAACAGAAGATAAACCAGTACAAGGATGAACGACGAGAAGAGGAACTGAGTAAAAGTCACTGAGAACAGACGCAGGGATAACAGCGGACATACTAGCACCACTATAGCAGAAGGTCTGGAAGGAAGGAAAGGTACTTGCCTATTGATTGGAAAAAAGGCTATCTTGTCAAACTTCCGAAGAAGGGTGACCTAAGTCTTTGCAAGAACTGGCGCGGAATCATGCTCCAACTCTGTCCACCCCAAGCAAAATATTGTGCCACACCATCCTGGAGAGACTAAAGGATGCGCTCGATCCAAAAGTATGACCGGAATAGGCTAACTTCAGGAAGTACAAATCATGTGCAGAACAAATTGCAACGCTTTTCATCATCATAGAACAGAGAATAAAACGGCAGTCAAATCTCGATCTCAACTTCATCGACTTTGAAAAGGCCTTCTATAGCATCGACCGAGAAGTAATTTGGCAGGCACTTGCTTCAACACTACGCATTTAGTGCGACAAATCTTTATCAGCCTCATTCAACAACTATATGAAGACACCACATGCCAAGTATTTCCAATGGGATGCTCAGTGATGCATTTGAAGTGAAGACAGGAGTAAAACAAGGTGGCTGTCTACTATCACCGATGATCTTCCTGATTGTGGTGGACGGGATCATGCAGCGAACAATGAGGAGTGAGGAGGAGAGGATTCACTGGACCGGGAAAAGATCCTTGAAGATTTGGATTTCGCCGATTCCCTGTGTCTAATGTCATACAAAGTCGAAGATCTATGGGCAGAAACTAACAAGTTGAATGAAGAGGTGAGACAGCGAAGACAGAACTTCAAGTGAACGTAGAGAAGACAGAAATGATGAAGATACTCAACCAACAACAACAAACTCCAATCACCATGAATGGGATAAACTTAAAGGGAGTAGCCTCTTTCACCTAACTAGGCAGCACTGTCTCAATTACAGGTAGCACAGACGAGGTCTTCAAAGCCAGCTTCAGAAAAGCAAGATAGGAGTTCATTAGCCTGAAACCAGTGTGCAGATCTTCTGCACTCAACAGAAAGTGTGAACAACATCCGGATTTTCAACACCAATCCAGTCACGTCAGTGCTTCCATGTGATGCTTCAGAGACTTGGTGCGTTTCCAACAAACTTCAGACATTCATCAGCAACTGCCTACACTGGCTCATTACTGAATCTAAGATGGCTAGAATAGTCAGAGTAAGTAACAAGGAACTCTGGTTGCTTGCAACGAACCAAGGAAGAAGCTAACGCTCAACAAATGTGCAGAAGGAAGTGGAGGTGGATTGGGCATACACTGAGAAGACCATTCGGGGACATCTCGCTCCAGGCACTCGAGTAGAACCTAGATGGGGAACGACTAGTTGGGCGTCCGAAGGTGACATAGAGGAGATGGTGTGAGGAAGAAATGAGAGCTTGTGGGCAGTAGTAGAGCCAGGTTGAAAAGACTGCAGAAAACAGAGTGGAATAGAGACGTGTTACTGAATCCTTATGTTCCACTAGGAACCTAAGGGACAAATAACAATACTCACTTATTGATATTGAATGTTTTGTCTTACTCACTATTAGTTGCTTCAAAATTATTTCGTAACAAGGTTAAATTGTTTACTTGGTTGTGGCAAGCACTGGAATTCAGCATGCTTGTTTCCTACTACTTGGGACTCGTCAGCTGTTTGTGTCTCCACCCCAGTGAGTGATAGCGTTCCCACTGAGATTGCAATCTCATACCCATCTCTTCAAACCCCAAAGCACTATTCAGGTGGTCACTGAGGCATGATAGCCACATCTTGCACGACGGGTATTAGTGATAGCTATTTGTTCATATGCTAACGAAGAACTCATCCAGTAAAACAATGAATAATTACATGCATATCAACAAACAGTAATAACTAATACTGACTGTACAAAAAGTGGCTATTCTGCGTCAGTGATCAAGTAGATAAGGCTTTTGTGTTTGAAGCGATGAGTAGGAGTTTGGAGTATGAGTGGGAACAACATCATTCCACTTTACAGTCCATGTAAATCCAGATGATAAGTCTTAAATTAGATGAAACGTTAGTCATGATTCCTCTGCTAGTCACAACCAAGTAAACTAGCAAGATGATATTCAGGTAGCATTGAGGCAACCACATTCCATCCCTAAGCAAATGGAGGCTGAACAATTCGATCCAGTATAACAACGGAGAATTACAAGTGTATCAACAAATAGTAATAAAGTTACATTTGACCTAGGACACACGATAAAGTTAAAATCACTTGGTTACACTGTTTATTTTTTCTTGCATCAGTACTCCATAACAGTAAGATACAGAATGACATGTAACATTTAAGAACTAGCATACATTTGTGATCATATTTAGATACAATTTTTATCCATTTTACGCTTGAATACATTGTACAAATGTAACATTTTATTGAAAACACTGAATTTCTTAAGTTTGTTACATGCTTGAAGAGGAGGATACATCACAATAAAGACATAAAACTTTACTAATAACAAAGAATAATCAAATCGAAGTAAACAGCTGATTACATAACTTATTTATTGAGCAGTTTATATATACATGTGAATGTAACATTTGTTTTATTAACACTGCCCAGTAGAAAGAAAAACCTCTATCATATATACAAAATATAAATAAGACAATTTTAATCTGAATGTCTTGGTTCATTTACCAGAATGAAAAACAGCCTGTAGTAAAATTGCTCCAAATAACACCATGATTATGTTGATAACGTCTTTATTGATATAACCTATTTTTATTTGCAATCAAAAGAACTATATTGCGAGAATTTTAGCTATTGGGTTATGTGATTGAATTTGGGAAACCTTAGCAACAGATGAAATAGGATTAAGCTTTTGTAAATAACTTACAGATTGAACTGTCTCCGTAGACATTTCTCGGAGTTGAGTAGTTTTTCAACTGCAAACCCAACTATACTGCCAACAGGGTTTTTACAGTAGTAGTACGTTTTACTAGTTTACAACACTTTTGTGTCAAAGATCACATCTTCAGAGCGGTGCTTCAGTTTGTTATTTGAAAAGAACTACTCAGCTGTGAAAAATGTCAACGTGGACAGTGCAATTTATAAACCACTTGCAAATTGGTCATCTTATTTCAGGCATCCTAATTCTAACAAGTCAACTAGCCAGATACAGAAGATCTAGGTTCATTTAGCTTTAGGAACTAAATTCGTACAGGCATACCGCTGATGAGCTGAGCTCTAAACCACCATCCAGTGCTTACTTAGATCAGTGTGATCTAATTGGCTGAACGTGTATCTGAGAGGCTTCTAACTACTCAGGTCGTTCATTAGCAGTATATTTGGCTAAAACCATATGCTGAAAAGCAGTTAAGTGTCAAATTAGTATTCATCATGGACTGATATGAATTGGAGAAGCAATAGAAAACTAGGAGCACTGGAAACTTGTTTCATCCAACTAAAAGTCGTGATCAGCACCTGTCAAATTTCTCGACAAGCACATTAAGAATGAACAATTAGTTTGGAATCCAGCAGTCAACATTACCCTTTTTCTGGTGAGTTGTGACCGTTAGGGCATGTGATCACTAATACGCAAAGATGACATTGACTGAAAGTCGCGTAATATGGTTAATTGAGGGAAGTGAGAAAATGTCGACCATTGGATTTCAACATAGTGACTCAGAGGTAACATACCAGTCAAGAAAGTTGAATTTAGTGGTTTCGATCCTCAATAGAACCATGAGTGCACACTCCTGAGGAGTCCAAAACTACTGTAACGACTAGATGTTAATAAGCTTTTTATCTAGACCGCAGGTAGGTAGGAATATTCGGGTTCACTACGAAGATCTTTGAGGATAAAATGGAAGAGAGGACATGAGCCAATGACTCAGCAAGTATACAAGATGTATTTGTATTGAATAATAAAAGGTAACTGACAAACAGTAGAACTTGACAACGAAGAGGTAAGATAGCCTAAAAACCGAAACGGTAAACTGAATGAGTAAGGATTTGAATGCGTCACACTAGAAGATAATACAGCTGTCCAATGCTTCGAAGTTTTCAATGGTTCTCCATGTGATGTGAATCTGGGATGAATACTACTTTGAAATAAAATCCTTTTAAAAAGGATAGTGGGTGGCAAAATTGTAACTTATATAATAATTAAATTTGATTCGATTATCAACTTCTTTCAAAACATACGCAATAACTATGGCCTGAATTTTTATAATCTAGGTAATAATATTGTCTGCATTCCATGACAGTTCGTAGATTTTTATTTGTTTCTTTTGTTTATATTCCTACTCTCAGACGATAATGAGAAAGCTATTCCCGGAATACCATACAGTAAAATTTGCCATATTGTTACAAAGATAACCTCTGCATATTCTAACTTTTGAATTAAGAAAATCCAACTACGTGCTGTGGGTCTGAAATTCTTTTTTTATTACGATAAAATTTCATTCTCATTAAAACTTATTTTTAACACCCACATATGAAACTTTATAATAATTATCATTGATACGTTTCCTCTTTCTTTCTACTTCACTTTCAGTACATGAAGTTAGCTTTGTATTGGACTCACAAGACTACGATTATATAATACCTCATCGTGGTTTGGTTGGCTTTCGTTTATGGATACATGCCAGTGAAAAGCAGGCTTACAATATGCTTGACTTGAAAAATGATCCACGGCAAACTGTAGATAATGACAGAGGATTTCAACTTTACTTGCAACAACAAACTGGTATACAATCAAATGAAATTATTGTCAGCACAGAATTTCAAACTCTAATACGTGTAGCTTTAGACATGAATGTAAGTTGCATAACTAACTGTTAGTTTTGCATAATTTGTGCATATCACAGACTGTTTCGTAGACCGATACGATAGTTTAAAAATTACAACAAACAGGAAAATAAGAAAAAGAAAAGCATTTCAAGAAGCTCATTGAATTAAACTTCTGAGCTAAGTAACAAAGCAGGTGGAGTCAGTTTTTAGATGAAGACAATTACGATTTACAGAAAAAGTGTATTACCAATAGCACGACAGGTATTTTGCAGTTAATCTACCGTCATGATGGATTTTTAGCAATAATCTTTGTTTAGTAATGATGGGCAGTGGCTAGCATTGAAATCCAGGAATCCAAGAAGTGGCTATCGCGGCTCGTGGTGTAGTGGATAACGCGCTGGCGTTTGAAGCGATCGCTCCCGAATCCGAGTCCCGGCATGAACAACATCACTCGCCGAGAAGCAGGTACATTCAGCTGACGAGACCCAAATAGGAAGAAATGCGCATCCTGGATTTCACTGCTAGCCACTGCCCATCATTACTAAACATAGTTAAAAGACAGGCCATATCGAGGCATCCGCATAGGAGCCCATATGCCAACAGAGGCTGATAAATTCGGTCCTATCTACAACGGTGTAATACAAGCAATAACACTAAAGTAATCTTTGTTGTTTTAATTTACCTGATCAAAATTTGTTGCAAATCAAAACTGGAAGTGTTTGTCCATATGTACGGTCTTCACCAATCTCTACTGTCTTCTTGGATCAGTGACATATCTTGATAGCGCCTGTTTTTAGTATTCATCATTACATTTTTTAGTTAATCACGATCTACTTTTAATTCATGGTTACACAGGCTCAAAGAAATAGGTCTGGAAACAGTTGCAAATACGGTTACTAGAAGTGTTAAACGTAAGGTGGATTCTTTAAGACAATCTTAGAGTTTGCATCAGAGGCTAAAAGTCAATATAAAATTTACGGTTTCGAGGTTTGTGGTGATCCTACTGATTTCAGCTTAGCATTCATCACGAACTGACAACAGTTGGAGAACCACTGAATACGTAGGAGCACTTGACAGGCAGGTATTTAGTACGTATATGGGACTCAAAGCATTGAATCCCCATGACCTTTCCAGGGATCAGTTATTATAACTTTTTTTTGACATTATATTCCTCAGTCATTAGATTTTTTATCTCGAACCACTATCGTAGTCCAAATAACTTATATTAGCGCATCAATGAATATTCCTTCATGAGGTTATTGTATAAAAGGTTATCTGCCAGGGAATACTGTGTAAACGTCAGCCTTCTGAATGACAGAAGTCACTAGCACATGTTAAAGGTAAAATTACCTTATTTTGTAATAACTTTCATTTTTGTACATCCTTAGCTTGAATAGTTTAGATGAATAAACGTCGTTTTCTTACATTCCTGCCTACCCAGGACCTCAGGAAATAAAGTGTACATTAGAGCAAGGGATGATTTGTTATTGACTAGTGAACTTCTGTTCATAAACAGACAACGAAATTTTGAACAATATTTAATTAGCTATATAATTAAGCTTTTGAATAAAACCATAAAAAGATAATCTCCAACTAGTGGAAAACACCATGAAGCAAGTAACCTAGTGTATTTATTAAAGTTATTATTCGAATTCGATTGCAGTAAAAGTTTTAATTTTGACGTCTGAAAGATATGAAATTAGCTTAATAAGTATTTCTTTTTCCAGTTAAACCAGCATCATGACTTAATATTATTATCTACAAGGTTTATAATGATAACTTAGATGCTTATAGGATGAGACTTAACACATCAGTGTTTTGAGAATACAAACTAATCACATCTGAATAGTCAAGTGCACCACAGTGCACCACAATAACGCGTCATTAAATTCATTGGCTGCATTGAAAGCCTAATCGACTAACTTTTGTCAGTACTGTATACTAGGGAACAGAGAGTTAAACCGGTTTTCCCCTAGTGTTTCTTTCGTGCAGTTTCTTGTGATTATTATCAACTGAAGGACTTGAAATACTGAACAGTAGTTATTTTACTTTTGCTGTGTTGAAAGACAATATTTTTAACGTTGATATGAAACTCTATATTTAATAGCTTACTTATTGCATGAATCGGGACACTGTATGGTTACACATATAGTTATCAAATCCTAAGCGTGAAATCAGTTCAGTCAATCGCCGTCAGATAATAAGTGGAACAGGAAGCAAAGAGCTTCACTAAACATGTCTGCGCTAGATCCAAAAAAATTATCGTTCAAATTATTTACAAAAGCCTTGTCTCCTGACAGAATGCTGAGATTTCTTATTGTTCCACTCAAATTTATCATGTCTACCAGAAAATTGAAAAGTACCAGTTTAACACAGAACTGGTGACATTTTCAAGACTGGCTATACGAAGTATGACAAGTATTAGCAGATCGTGGGTTTGTGATATACTAAGAACTGTCAGAAAAGACAACTCAAGTAGGCCATAAAATATGAATACCTTTGTATGAATAGGTTTAAACTTTACTCAGATGACCTTCAGAATGAAATTTTGAGGCTATATTTTTTCAACTATTCCTAATTTACCCACCAGGTTGTTTTCATAATAATGTGAAATGTCAGGGGAAATCGGATAACGTAAAGACCACACTAACATTAAATGACATAATCGGATTGACTTATTTATTTTATGAAAATCAGCCCTTCCCACTGAAACAAAGAGATCTAATTGGCTTTTTCAGTGGTTGCTAGAGTTACTCGAAAAAGTACCCCGGTCCCAGAGGAATTCAAATATGTAGGTCAGTGGTTGATATAGCCTCATCGACAGCTTCAATATGAGCTGCAGTACGTGAATGTAACCTGGTAGGCATCTGGAAAGCAGAGGTGATGAAAATTATTATTTATGTGCTCAGTATCTAGCTTTTAAATCTGAAAACATTCGGATTCAGAGCATGAACAGCCTTCGTTAAATTAGTGATAACGCTTAACCAAACAAATAACAGCCCTTTTAAAAGCTATCGACTGAGATATGAAGACTTTTTAAGACATGCCTAACATGTAGTATGTGGATATTAAATCAACCTCTAACTTATTTAAAGAATGAACAAACATCAAGTCGATGACCATTTACTGGGGAAAGATGTTGTCCAACTGACAAATATAGTATGAAGACTTAAACACTTGGTGTTTGTATAAAAATTAACTGAAGTGTAATTAAATATATACGATAAGAATTTCATCTTAATTCCTTTGCTGAACACTTGTTTGTTACGTGGAAATCAAATTACACTCTAAATGTTAGTTGGATGGAGGCGATCGGTAGAATGTCCTGAACCTAAATTTTTTGCTTGTTGGCACTCATCATTAAAGCGTATCTGCAACCCCAACTGGACTAATGTACCGCCTGAGATTCAAACCTGCATCATCCCCTGTGGCAGTCAGTGACGCAACTAATGATTTATTTGAGTGGCGACTAACCTGTAGCAGAGGATTATATACACTAACTGGTCACTAGAGGGCAACCAATTTCCTGTTTTTTAGTCCCAAGTGCTAATGGAGTTGCCGGTCGCCTCCATTCAACTAACATCTATCAAAATTTATCGCGATGCTGAGCTGTTTAGTCTTGTGGCCACACTTCAAAATGATATACAGGTTTCACTTAGCTCTTAGGACTAGACAATATAAACTTGGTTAGCCTCCAGTAGCCGATCAAATTCCATTCTGTATAACTGACAAAAGTGCATCATCTTCACAATTCAGCATTCAATGTCTCTATCGTGAAAGATTATAAATATGACCATAAACTTGATAAACCTTCCCAAATCAGACACTGAAAAAGCCTTTCATGGAATGACTTCATGATCAAACGTTGACCTGATAGATTAAAATAAGTCGAGTATTGTGTAAAGGAAATATGTTTGTAAATCCCTAATGGGATGAAAGATACATTTCTGACGTTTAGCGACCTCATGAAAATCGCTTGTTTCAAGAACAAAACCTAACAAAGTTATTGCACATTTAATGCAGACGTACTGTATCACGTTGTCCTTACACACACGATAATAAACTGTCTCAACTGTAATGCTTATTATCATTCCACGAAATCTACATTCATGCTGAAGAAGATGCCAGTCACACAAATAACGATCATGAAGTAATGCTGCAGAAGGGGGAAATTAACAAGTCAAATTGCCACTTTTCACAGCAGGAAATTGGAAATAATGAAATTATTAGGAAACTATTTTCATACTCCAAAGAAAGACGGATATCTGGGGCATTTCATATTTTCCTGAATCCTAATGCACTCAAAGGAAAAAAAAGGCTTATTTATTCAACCAACTGGGACACAGTACGCAAGCTAATCATAGCTAAAGTCTATATATACGCACAAACAAACAAAATTTCTCACCCATATTTTTTTACTTACTTTCACCTTGAACTAATAACGACGCCACGTATTCCATTATTGTTATCATATATGAACGATGTTGTCTGATTTGGCTCCAGTTACTATTTAAACATGTGATAACTTTTAAGGTTTTGTTCCCTGCAGAAGCAACTTTTTTCAGGTTGCAAAACTTCTGAAGTTTATTTTCCTACCTCATTGAGATTTTATAAATATATCTTCTTAACAAATAAAAGGAGCCGCTTACGTAATAAGCCATTACATGACATGATATACTGGGTATAAATAAACAAATTATTTCTAAATGCGTAGACGTATAATTTGAGTTGCAATCTGCTTTGTGACTAACAATGGAATTCCGGATGCACAATTCGTCCCACTTGAAACTCATCAGCTGAATGTGCCTGCAACTCAGTAACTGATGTCATTCGCAACAAGTTTGGAGCGCCCAGTACTCATAGCTTCCAGCACCTGTATGTTGTCCGATAGGCTTCTAGAGGACGAGAGCTACCACTTTTGTAACGGGTATCAGATGTTGTTTGATGTTTTCAATCTTAAATTGCTATAATGAGTTGAACTGCTTGACCTCAGTTGGCAGATGGGCTCACATGTGGATTTGGTTACTTATTATGTTATCTGCTTCATGGCTAGCAGTAGAACCCAGGAAGCTTGTGTGGACACCTGAGTGTCTATTTTTGTTAGCTATCTTTACATATCAATCCTAGCTGACCTTCATAAGTAGACGGTGATTATGGTTTATGTGTGCATGCATGATATGTCATTCAATGATTACTTAATTTTTGTAGCTTCATGGCTTCAAAGTGTATCGAATGATGAATTTATCGTAATTCTGGTAGGAAAGGCATTAGAGTATTTGACAGCAGCTGACTGACACATTGATGCAGAGCATTCCTTTTTCGTGTTCTTCGCATTTCACTATCAACAATACTGAAAGCATGTGTTTCTGGCAAAACATTTACTATATACTTAATAAGTATGAGCGATATTTAAGCTCAGTTCACCGTTTGGACCGATGTTCTTAACAAAAACAATCTATAAAAGCTCTTATTATCAGCTTACCTGGGTGAGGAAGCCGTGGTTCTACTGATACTGCGTGATGATTAGAGGTGAGAGGGAAATCTGAGCCACAGGAGGATTCGAACCAGAGACCATCGGGTTTCCAGCCTGGTGATGTACCGATTAGGCCAGGCTGCTAACTGGATTTTTATTTCATTTCAATTATCAAAAACTTTGTCCGACTGCCATGTGAATTCGGGACGCTTTTCCTGTCGCTTCACTGTATTCGGACTGAATGCACAGTCAGAACTTACAATCCCAACCCAAATCTACTTGATGTATGATCAAGCGGTAGTAATGCTTACCGAATTCATATGACAGTCAGGTATAACCGTTGACAACAGAACTGAAATAAAAACCTGGTCAGCAGCCAGGCTTTGTAGCTCAGTTGGCAAAGCACTGAGCTGTAAACCTGGTGGTCTCTGGTTCGAACCTTGCTGCGGTGAAGGTTTTCATTTTACTCTCAGTCTTCACCGATTATCAGAGCCTTGATCATTAGGAAGCATTAAACTCAAAACTATAAAATATTCTGTCATGATTATTGCTGATAAATATATATTTATCCAATTACTAAACAGTTAAATGCTTCTATAATCATCCTACTTCTTGATTTTGTGAAATTGGTTTATTACCTATGTTGAATACTAGGTTCGTTTAATGCAGAACAACTTGCGACACTTATGTTCAACAAGAGCTGAGTCTGTTGGTTGTGAAAATGATGAAAGGGATGGAGAACCACACAAAGGTATGCACTCTTATTTAAACTGAACAATGTAGATTGTCCCTTATTCAGTGATTTGCGTTATCAGAAGCGATTTTCACGTGTTTATCATAATTGCTGTTATCCTGAGAAAAGGTGACTAACAAATTTCTTAACTGTAAAAATCATGTGGATAAGAATATGATTTGTTTTAGGGAATAAACAAGAAGTTAACTTGTGAGAGTGTGAACAATGAAGGGAGTTATCTGTCATGAAATTCGACAGTGAAGCAGAAAATACAATAGTATCACTTCAAGCTTGGTAGGACTTTAATGTTAGGCAATGAAATGCATCCCTTTAAAGTTTATTACTCAGTTGGTACCAATACAGAAATATTGACTTTAAATGAATGAAACTAGAAGCAGGAACGAAAGGTACTGATTAAGTACTTGTGGTCCGCTCTTGGATAAATTATTAATTGTGAACATTACCAAAACATCTTCCAGTATACACTTCTGATGACGCCGTCTTTAAAGACTTCGTTAGCTATAATCAGGGAGCATCACTTCTACAGGGTGAACATTTCAGTACATAGATTGCCTATTTAAGATTTATCCACGTTATGTATCAACTTGGAATGCGGATAATAGAAAGCATACCTTTTTATCAGATTGATTCCTAGATGGAGACGCTACAGAAAAGACTTCAACAAACAACTGTTAGAATTAAAGAGGCACTTACGAAGAAGCTGTAAACCAAGTGACCAACATCACTATCCATACAACTTGAAGTATCCAATATGTATTTTCTTATTTTCTGAATACAAGACTGCCATTCTGATATGCACACTGACACAAAATTTGGATCATGGCTAAAAAAGTATGCAGATTCATTTCTTGTTATCTTTGAATTACTTGATCATACATCAACAGTACTTATTCTTTTGAGAAAATTGGGTACATTAGAACATAATCGTTACCCAATTTTCATCCTACTAAATAATTTGAAGGATTTTTTTCTTTTGATGAACCAGTCAAAATACTAATGATACAAGTGTTTAAGTGTTATAAACGTATCAAGCGATGACTAGCTCAAACATATATGCATTCTTGATAAATAATGCCACCTTCTATGACAGAAAACCAATTTAAGCGACTTATTTTCGTCTACAGTCTAGGATCTCCATAGATGCGGATATATGTGCTTGTGTTTTTCTAGAATGGAGCAGTTCTTAAATTTAACATTACAAGAAATTACAAATGGGTGTAAGAGATGGATTCATCACGACTCTGAAATGGTCAAAAGCGATGTGTTCATTTAGTGAGTACTATTAAAGTCAGTCAGAAAGGTTATTTGGCTACTGACCGTAAAAATGGTGGTCATGATACGTCGAAATCATTTTCATCATGTTGGCATAATGGTAGATAGCAACTTGTAGTATCTTTTTTCAAACTAACCATCGGTGTACGAACTGTTCTCGAAGTGGTTACATAGAGGACTACCATGAAGCTAAACGTCGGAATTGACGGTACCTCTACTGCAAGAGGTATACTTCTATAGAAAAATTAAATGTGTAATGGCTTTGCACAGAAGTAGATCAGAGTCATGATGAAAATATTTATTCATCGGAATCAGCAGACAGTGGGTTAGCTTGTAGCTTGATACAACCTCAGATACAACACTTTTTATCAAGAAAATATGGGATAAATAGGCCGGCGTAAAATATTAATTTGACTTCTTAGGTGATATCAGGCAGTCAGCTGAATGTTATTGACGAAATTCGTTATGAAATCTAACGGAATTCTGTATCTGACAGATTACCTGCCTGGACATCTTATTGGTTAAGATTGTACAGAAACCCGAAGTTGCTCGAAAAACTGCCAAACCTTATCTGCAAACAGACTAATGACGTGAATCAGTTGAAACCTATCATATCATCACAAACTCATCTGAAACTCAAAGATCCATTGGGACTTAGATGTGCCACAGTATTCTCTGACGGCACTGGGAAATGCACAAAATTTCAACCTAGTTGCGTACTCTGTTCAAAGGTTTAACCTATGTTTTGGTCACGTAGACCAGCGGCGTATTCAGCCTCACTTAGTGTGAAGCTAGTATTCGAGAACCTTCCATCAATACGCGTGTTTACACCAGCAAACATTTCATAACGAACAGCTCCAGAAGCTGCTGTGAAAGAAGTGAGTAGCACTGCACGCCTGTGTTCTTGATACTCTAAAGATGTGAACACAGCTTTTAGAAATCATCAGTATCCATTATCACTACTGGAATAACTACTCACGAAAGCAAATGGTGGTAGTTGTTTTGTATGCTTAAACTTGTCTGAAAAGTATTTACTAATACCGGTAGCAGATTATTGAAAGGAACCCCTGACCACGTACGCTCAGAAGAAGCTGACTAGATACAATGATCTTTTTAAGACCATGAAAACAACAACGCATACAATCCAACAAGTAAAGGATACGATGCTGCCTGATACCCTGGTTCAAAGGGTGGTCATATATGACATAATCATAACACGGACAAGCAAGGAGGATTTAATGTGAACACTTGATCCAGTTTTGGAGTGCATCATGGAATATGGGTTCAGAGCTTCAACAAGATAACTGTGAATTTTGTGCAAAAAAAATTAATGAACTTGAGTTTATCGTGAACATAAATGGAACACACATGATCTGTATAACTTCCAAGAGATGTCATGACATTACATTCATTTCTGGATCTAGTAAACTGTTACAGTTTATCTCTGTCTGACGTTCATTGCCTTTGCAATCCTTTTAAATGCGATGCGGACGAGGAATGCGAAATATGATTGGTCAGCTGGTTGTCGGGAGACATTTGGTAAAATTAAGAAGCTACTAACCTCAGAGTTACACTTCACTCACTTCAACTTATCACCACCTATTGTGACTAAATATAAGGTTCCCAGTAGTGGTAGTGGTGAGATAATACCGTGTATTTTCCTAGATAGTTCGGAAAAAGCAATTGCTTGTGCCTCCCGGTCACTTACGTCAACATAATGCAAGTAGGGTCAAATCGAAAAACAGGCATCATGAATAATGTTTGCTGTCAAGAATTTTCATAAAATGATATGTGCCTGATGAATCACACTATTAATACATCACAAACTCTTACTAAGAGTATTTGGATCAAAAAACGGTACCATGAATCCTCTTCAGTGGTTGGTCACCACACTGCTAGCTTATAACTTTCGCAGATAGTACCAGTCAGTAGATAATTTCGGCCAGATTGATTTCTCTTCAAGATGGACAGGTTTTCATCTCTCAACAAAAAATGCATTCTGACTGAGACCGTAGAAGTTGAAATTAAACATCGACAACTAAGAGATGGATTACTTAGTTTATGCGTGACTTTTGACAATATGAATGTGGCTGTAGAACTAGAAGAGACTTGAACCACTGTTAAAAAGCCTCTCAAGGCGAAATGGCCAACATCTCAAAACACTAGGGATCTGTAGCCTTCATGCATCATATTAGGCGATAGAATATAGTGCCAAAGAGTTTCCATCAGTAGGTAGAAGACCATCCGGGAATTACTACTGTTAAGCTTCTGGCACATAGAAATATACGTTAATATAATATGGATGAAGAGGTTGATAAGATTTATCAAAACCGTCTTAACTGTACCATAGCAGCAAAAAACCGGCCAAGACGTCTCCAACACCTGTGACCAAAGACAGCCACTCCATGGCCAAGACTGCATGCTGACTTTACCGAATTAATACAAAGGAAAAGGTATCTTATTATGATGGATGAACATAGCAAACGGCCTGAATTTTTCTACTTGCCAAAATGTATGAAGCAGCCACCAACCTCTCTAGATTTTTAGCTGGGTTTCCGAAACTGTGGTAAGAGATAACAGCACTCAGTTCACTTTCACATCAGCTTCATCTTTTCGCAGAGAGAATACAATCCAGAATTTGTGTCCTCAATCTTTTTACTCACAATCGATTGATGAAGCAGAAAGATAGGTGGTTACATTTAAACAGGTTTCATTGAAAAAAGCAAGGAGAAAGATCGGTGAGTGCACTTATGATCAGCTTCCTCGTAAATTACAGAAGGACGCCAAGTTCCAGCATGTCAGACTAGAAATATCCTGTAGAATGCATTATGATCAGCAGACAAAAGTTGTTCTGCCTTTATGCCACCAACAATCAAAAAAGAAAAGGGTGACAGAAATAAAACAAAATATACTTTCCTGGCGAACCTACCATGGTAAGAATCTGTGGTGAATGGGAGTAATCAAACATAAAATCGAGAAAGATATCTAAAAATCCAGAGCAGACAAATAAATCAGATAAGACCTAGATGTCATACCCACAGTAAAACTTATCTTTCTACCAGCTTACCACTAGATCTATTATTGGATAATCCATAACAGTCAGAAGTTGAACTAAGACTTCTAAGAAGTTATCAATCTCCAGAATTATTCCGATCTAAAACCACCACAGCACTGAAATTTTCCCTTCAAGAAAATTCAAATGAACCCAAGAAACGCTGATACTTAAACTTACTTTTGTACCGTAACAAGTGTTATGGAGTGTTATGTCTCAGATTCCCCAAAGAAGCTCAGAATTCCTTGAAAACCTTCATAGCATCCCGAACTTTCCCGAAAAACCAGGTGATCACGAATGTTAGGTCCAGATTGACTAAATGTCATTCTAGGAGGAAGTAAAAAACATCACAGCTGTTGTAAGCGGATTCTGTTTAAAATACATCTTACTATTTAAACTCATAACTAAAAACACCTGAACAAAATACCAATAAAATATCATTTTAGATGCATCGGGTATGCACCAGTCACTTGCAATTATCTAAGTATTCTTGCAGAGCTTTTGTAATAGTCTGTTGTTGGTCTAGGTTCTATTTGCCATTGTTCACAACTGATCCGTTATGAGATCTGTTCAAAGTAATCTAATCTTCGCTTCACAACCTCAATTCAGTCTCAGTTTATGCATGACGTTTGTAAAAAATGTTCTTCGTTTATGTGGATGGTAGGTGAAATCTATTACTAAACTCGTATATATGAATTATAATTCCACCCCTATAAGCTTTAATTAGTTTCTCACTCAGTACACTTAATATTTTACTGCATTTACCCCTACCCCTGTACTTAAAAGATTTCAATAGGTTCTGCATATAAAATGTTTTATTGGCGTCGCTTTATGACAAACTAAACATTGTACAACTCAGTCTCCTCTTATAGTGATTATAACAATATTTAAAATGTCAGCTTAATTCCTTTTGTTTTCGCTTTTAAGTTAGACATAAGTGTAAATTCTTTTATAAGTTCCAATGCATAAATAATTTCACTGCAGTCGTCACATAAAATGAGAGTATCGTCGACAGAACACCAATAAAGCATCAGGTAGTACATTGGAACACCCGAAAGTTTATCAATTTTAAGTTAGTATTTATCGTTGAGTGACATCAGCTGGTGAATCAGTAGAAACAAGGGAGCACTGAACAGCCACTTCCTCCTAGTATGGGACTTTTCAGCAGAGCGCATTCATGACATTAAGGCTTCTCGCAAGCATATTATCATTGAACCAACAGGTCGAAAACCAATAGTCCACATTTTCATACTTCTAACAGAAAGTCATGGCTGCTGGGCAAATCAAGTTGGACATGAAGATAGTTATGTAACGACTGTACTCGATTCAGATGGCACTATATTGCGAACTGACAGAAGCATGAAGATGCAGACCGTTAAATTCCAACTCGGTGAGTCAATAGAAACGTATTAGCCACGGAACCTGGAAGTCGTGGGTTGGATACCTGCATTGCTAATGAGTCCCACATTAGGAAGAAACAGCTGTCCGGCACCTTCAAGTTTCTAATGATTCTCCAGCTGACGTCAGTTTTTGATGAATACCAACTTGAAATCAGCAAATCCCCATAGGCCTCCAAATCAAAATTGTATTCTTTATATCTCCCAATGACACGTAGTCTAATAGGGTGATCTTGCAAGAATGCTCACAGCTACACCCTCCTTATGAAATTGGAAATGAATAAAAACTTGGTACAAACAAGAACCAGAAGATCATTACTGGTAACTATGAAATAAACGGTCATAATTGATATCTAAGGTAAATTAGTGAACAAGAGCACTAAATTTCGCAAACACAATGTTGAACTGTATAAAAACATTCGATGACTCGTTTAGCCCATTTATCTGAAGGTGTAAGCATCAAAGTGTTGAGAGAAAATGGAGTCTTTCATTTTATCCCAAAAGTTTCCGTAAGCAACATTTACCGAAAATGTTTAGCTAAGCAAATTTGTCAATATAGTCATCCAATTTTTGTTCCACAGATTTTAGTAATCAGTATGGATATTAACCAAATTAGCATATTTTGCATTTGAAAAGAAGGTAGGAGGCTGAAAGCATGGTAAATCATAAATCTTGATGTCTGGTATACTGCCCCTAGTTATTTAAATATTTCATGATTCTGTTATTTTACATGCCTGGAAACGTGATGGATTATTAGATAGGTAATAACAAAAGCGAAAATTACATGGATGTGGGGGTGGGAGGCGGATGAAACTGAATCAGAACAGGTTCGCATACTTTTCACATGGATTTTCTCTCCTGTAAACAAAGAAAACATAGATCATTTTCTGTTAAATGCTTATGAGTTGATGCATATCAAAAATATTTTTCTACCGATTTATGGTTATTTAGGTAGTCTAGTATATTAGAAGCACAAAAATGTATGTTTGATCTATGGTATATATGACTATTATACTAGGTGGAAGTTTCAGTTCATTAAGCGAAGTATTCAGTGTGTGAAAACACATAACACTGACTTTTATACTGGTGGGGTGAAGCGTAACAGTGACGTTGGTGAGTGTCAAGTCAAGATAAGAACGGTTTCGTAATTGATGAACGTGTCAAGAACTATATATGTAGGCTTTAACTTTAAGGCTAAAAGTCTGATAACTACTTTGGCAACTTCCATAAGCATCTAAAACACTTAAATGCTAAAAGATTGAGGAAATGAAGATATATTCGATTCATACTTTCCTTTTATTTTATGTTTGACTAAAAACTAAGGATGGACGACAGCTGAAGAATCCTCCAAAGTATACTTCACAATGCAGTAAACATTTCAGAGTGCAATTGGCTTAAGTTGTTAATACACCATAGAGCAATATTTATACCTGGTCAACAAAATGGTAAGAAACAATCACTCTAACTAACTGCTTGTAACAGGAAGACTTTAGCAGGGTAGAGACGCTTCCTGATTTTATAAACTCCAACACCCTTCCACCGTGCAAAAATTTACATGGCGAAAGTCTTTAAATAAAGATCTCAGGACCTGGAACGCTGCAACAAGATGCTAAGAAAAGACAAATACCGTTTCGCTGCTTTGGAAGCTTAGTAATCACTGAACGATAAGAATGTAAATGAACAGTAGGAAGCATCATGCTGGTAACAAAAGCGGGAGTTGAAAAAAATGTTAAGGAGTAAATTATATTCCTATTGGTGGTTAATATTGGCATCCAGGAAACACATGTCTTCCTATTTGGGACTAATCAGCTGGATGTACCTGCAATCCAGTGAGTGATATTGTTCCTGCGGAGACTGGAACTCAGTGCCTGTCGCTTTAAATGTCAAACTGTTATCCACAAGACCCCTGGGGGACGAGAGTCATATCTTGGGCAACAGGTTTCAGATGATACTTGATGCTTGTAATTTCCCGTTACATAGGGCTGAATTTCTCAACCTGTGATGCAGATTGACTCCTGTGTGGATGCTTCGATTCTGCAAGATATCCACGATGTTGGTTTCAACTTGGTGACTAGATGATTATTAGTTGCATTATGTTTACCCTATGACACGTTCAGGTTGTTGTTACTTCCCTGCTGCTTACATTGTGCCTAACAGAGTGAGTAGTTTACGCAAACCATTTTAGAGTCCATTTCAATGGAACAATTTTACAATATGATGAATGTGTTTATGTTTTTAATTGATGGTTTTGTATTTAATAACAATTTCTTCTATAGATTCTATAGGAGAAACTATTTGGTTATCCAGCAATAATTATCAAGACTTATGGAATGCACGAATTGTATCTGCAACACAGTCTTCAAAAGCAAGCATGATGTATAGTTTATTATCATTACGTAATCCAAACTTGTTTGTTCGAAATAAAATCGACCTAGAACGTGGTTTAAGGATTCAGCAACGCGCTTATATTCAGCTGGTCAACGAAACAGCCTTCAATGAGTTGAGAAATCTTGTATCAAGTTATGAAGATTTACGAAACCAACTGGGAAGTATTAAACAGTTATTACACGAAATAGAAATCGGATTTTGGCGAGATCAAAGAGAAGCTTTACAGGTGAGAACAACAATCTTCGAATAAATTGTGTATATTCTGCATTACCTGCATTGGTTTCGGTATGCCGTAAGTCTGCGAGGTTTGTAGCATAGTAATGTTCTCCTAATTTTACTGGTTTTCTGAAAATGCAGTCAGTCGTTGTGTTTAGCCTTGATCAGATTTTCCTTGAAATCAATGCCTCATTACCCTTGTTGTTGAAATTTTTTATGCTGCATGAACTTAGGCCCTTAAAGAGTATTCAAGAATTTATATCTTTGGGGGCATTTCCTTTAAACTAGAATAAGGCATGATTATTTGGTTATCTGTTGTACTTAAATTCCAACAGCTTGTTAATTAACTGGAAATCCTAACTACGTGCAAAATTTTGATGTAGCAAATGAGGTTTCTTTCCGGCTTCATGCAAAACATTGTCATGAGATGTGATTTATTGGTAAGACTCCACGGAACAGAGGTCTACTGACATGCTCAAACTATAGTGTGCTGTGTGGGGAAAAAACAACTTATATCGGATAAAAAGAATCCAAACTTACGAAAGTCGTCTTTATTTGCCTATAGTTTTATATTTGCACAGTATACAATGATATATGATAGGAAATATACAAGAACATCCACTTTGTTGGTGAGAAAGCATTGATTAAAAAGTAAGCGAAAATAAATGTATGATAATCAAACTATTTAACAGACTTGACACCGTTAGAATGGTCAGTATAGTTGAACATTTGAAGAAGTCATTGAAGTGGTGAATGGCTTCATGAGTTATGTTAGTATAAGAGCGGCAAGCATACGTTCACCGTCTCTGAAAACAAGATATTTGAAAATCAGTGAAAGAAGCATGATCCTTGAAATGTATCCACAAATGAAAATTAACTAGAAATTAAATGAAGAAATCATAGAGTTCTAATCTTTAACAAAGATCGAACACTGAAACTAAATACTTGTAGACTGACTCATGGACATCCATGAGAGTCATTTGATTCCTCAAAAACAGGAAGAAATGGTTTGTTGTCAAGTTGAACATGTACAAAAACTAACGGTCCATGTGACTTTCTAGTGGTCTTGATATTTTTACACGTTTCTAGAAAGATATTTAGCTAGTATGAATCTTACACTTATCAGCACGCGAGTTTTTGAGAAAGTAAGGCATGCAGTTTTTAGTTTTCAGAGCTTTCAGAGAATTCTAGCAGCACTGAAGAATCAAGATGTTCATCAATTACTAATGAAAAGTTTGAGCAAAACAACTAAAAGAAAGTATACTTACGTTAATTCAAACTTTAAATTGATACAGTTGGGTACATATCGCTGAAATCAGAAAGATACCGAAGAGATTTTCTTAGTCAGAACAGCTGTAGTTTATGAGCGATATACTTTAATTTGCATTCTTATAGCTTGTGTAACTAAATAGAGACGCATCAATGGCATATTATTTTGTGCATCAATAGACTAAATGATAATGTTTTAGGGGATAAAACGCAAGTAACAGTATGACTGGGATGAGAAGCACACTCATATTTCATACTGTCATTGACATTTTAATGACAGCCTGTCATCACTGATAATTCATTAACTAAATTGGTAATATTGATGAGAATTTATATGGTTACACATAACCACTAGCCTAAATGAAACTATTATCAGAATGAACTTGAAAAACGACGTAAACGCTTTTAGCTACAATCGGTAAATATAACTACATACATTTAACTAATCAGTAGTTTTTTAAGGTAAAAAGTTTTATGCAGTCAAAAATATGCTAATTAATTGAAATAATAAATTACAGGATGTAAACACGGAACAGTAAATCACAAAAAGAACACAACTGTTGTAATATCATCTGTCAGCATTCTTTTTTCTCTCTGTGCATCCTGAGACAATAAGTATTTGTTCATTCAACTGATAGTCGTTTATTCCATCTAAAATTGTCTAAGTCTTATGGAATAAAACAAGAAAAAGTTTAACATTTAGTAATTGAAACGTTTGTTTCCTGTTTAGGATAGGTAGTATCTCTATTCTAAGTTGTCTAATTCATAATCTTCGTTTAGAGCAATACTGGAATTTCGGTAGTAATTACAAAATTTGATTTCACACAAGATTTCATTGACTTGCTTTACGAAGGAAGTTAAAAAAGTGATTTTAGTACTAACTACCCCACGACTACAATAAACTTTAACTCTTTGGGAAAGAACGATAAATGTATGCTCAAACCTTGACAGCTTGAGGTGAGTACTTGACTAGACAAATTACAAAGCTAAAGCAAGTAATCATTTTTTAGTAAATCCAATAAACATTTAAACTATTAGGCTGATAAGAAATTCTTTGTACTTCAAATAGAATGTCAAGAATAAATCTGTCTCATGACACGGCTCTGGAAGATAAACCCAACATTTGAAGGCAAAATGTTAAACATTGTAAAGATATATAAACAAGCAGAAGGAGTAGCTATACGATCACGAAAATCTCCGATTGGATGGTTGGGAAAGCACTCCCTTAGAGACATTTAGCTCTAATCCCAAAGTATATGAAAGATATGTATGTGATATATTTATAGCATTGAAATCATAACTATTGATATATTTCTTATAACACATAAACTTAATAGTTGGTGCAGCATACTAGTCAGGAAGTGACAAAGAAGAACTGGTGATTTCGGATTGCAAAACCAAACGAAGGCAAGATGAAGGTTAAGCCTCCACACTCTAATCAATACTCTGACTTAGAATCATCTCATTCAATGTCATTTAGGCGAGCTTGGTGAAATCCCTGAGTAACGGGGCACATAGACTGACTAGTAGGTCAAAAAACGTAAGAATTGAAACGTATAAAGTATGTACTATTACTCAATAACTACTTCCGTGAGCTTTCACAAAAATGTATAAGGTGTAATAGGAACATGGTAATTTTAAGATCATGGGAGAAATTTTTAAAATCATCTTACTGTTACCATTAAACTGAAGAAAATTAAAAGTCTTAAGTAGGATTTTCAATGAGACCAGGTTTAGAGAAGCGTTTAAACCTACAAACTCACTTACAGACAAATTTGGTTCATTTAAGAATCCTATCAAACCTTAAAAGTAAACCAATTCTATCTATAAACTTTCATGTAATGACTACGAATTTAACCATATGCATCAAACTAGCCAACCAGAGTCCTCTGGGTAGCTGACTATAAAAATCTATCTAAACACATACTAGTAGACACAAGTAGTATCAGCAGCCTAGAAGGGAGTTCAGCCATAGCTATGCATGCAGTCACAAATAATCACGCAATAGGATAAGATAAACTTACAAAGTTAAAGGTAAATTTTGCTCATCGAAACGACTCCTGGCACATGTTATGCCAATGACGCAACATAAATTTTGAACACGTAAGAATAATACTACTAAAACGAGATCAGAAAGTTGTTTGATTGCTTTCACATGATTATGAACGATTTATTAGGCTTGAAATGTCAACAGATAGCCTTCAAGGTCATACCCTAGAAACTATCGAAAAAAACTAACCAGACTTTTTCATTTCAGCTGAGAAGGTAGATTTCCATAAAATCAGGAAGTCTAATTGGTTGTTTCAGTCTTTGCTAGAGTGACCTTTAAAGTTGCCCGACTACCTAGTGGCTATAAAGGCCGCCCTAGAAACTGCTCAAATAACTAGTTGGCTTTTGGTGTTTTCTACGGGATCGCACACTTTTATGAAAAGATAGAACATAAGTGGTCATTTCAGTAGTTGCTGAGGTGGTCCTCAGAGTCACCGTTTATTTCAACCGTTGCAAAGGTGCTTTTTGTACTAATTTAAAGGCCACTTTAGCAACTGCTGGGGTAGCCAATTAGTCTGCAATATTCTATAATAAAAAAAACTACCATCGTAGACGATATAAAAAAATATTTCGGCAGTTGCCAGTGTGGCTTTTAAAGTCGCTCTGCTCTTTAGAGTCACCCTCACTTTCACTTGGAAATTCTGGGATGTCGATGCACACACATACTATAAGGGCCACCCTAACAGCCACTGAGATAAATAAATACGCTTATTATTTGATGAAAAACTATTTTTTCCAAAATAAAAACCGAGGCCTGACTGGTTAAGTTAGTGGTTGTCAGGGTGGTCTTTAAATTCACTACTTCCAGCCTCATACCACAGAACATAGAGTCTTGTGTTTATTACCTATATGCTTTTGGCAATGCAGGTTATTTATGCATGGTACCAATATTTTTGTCCACTACTCCATATAATTCATAAGAATGAAACAACCGACACTATACACAGCAAAAGTGATTACGTACAATAATTTATTTCATTTAACAGGCAATTACTTTTTGAACTATGAGTCATGTAGAAGTGATTGAGTGGTCAATGGAAAGCATTCCAGTTGGACTATGCAACGATACTTTCAATGAAGTCATATGTAAAGACGTTCTAAAATATTCATGTTTTCTACCCCTCAGCCAATATAATACAGTAATACTGAACAACGTGGGAAATTCATTTCAGCCACTTATATTCATTTGTAGTAAATTAATGATAATTTCGTGTCAGATACCACACCTTGTGATGATTGCTGAGCGTTTTCTAAATGACGTCACAGTTTTGCAGTTGAAATACCGCTGATCTACGAAAAATCTTGAAGTGAAACACGCAATTGATTAATATTCCAGTGTGGAGTACTGTGGGGATTTATTTATTGATTTCAAGTTGTTACTCATCACGAAATGACATCAATTGGACTACTATTGAAAACTTAGAAGCACCGAACAGTTGTTTTGTTCTGGTATAGGACTCCTCAGCGGTGTGCTCCAATGATCCAGTCAGAGATCGAATCCACGGCTTCCAGGCTCCGCGGCAAGCTTTTTATCATTGAGCCACTGGTTTGGAATACTTTGTAAATTGGTCAGCTTATTTAGAATTGAAGTTGCCAGATTTTGTGTCAAGTCAGAAAATAGGTTTTGAAAACACCATATTGTTGCAAAACTAGGTATATGCGGTGGCATCGTTTGTAAATGCTTTGGGTAAA